TCACGTGCCCTATAGTAAAAACCTCTCCAAAAAAACCCAACAACAATAACAACAAAAACAAACAAAAAACGGTGAGACGAAATAGAAAGGGACTGAATCCAGATGTAATGTTTAACTTCACGGAATAGACTACTAAGTGGCCAATGCCTACCCCAGAATCTACCACCTCTCATCACCGCGGTGACTACCACGTTGGTCTAAGCACCATCATCTCTCTAGCAGACTGGTGCAAAGCCTCCTCACCAGTCCTCCTTCTGCACTTGCCCCTTCGTAGTCCAGCCTTCTCATAGAAAACGTGCTCCTCAGGGCCAGCAGGTGGCATAGTGGTTAAGGTGCTGGACTCCCACATGGCTGACTGTGGTTCAAATCCTGGACCTGGTGGCTTGCTTTCTCACTCTCCCTGCCTCTCTCTCTCTCTGTCTTTCTCTGGTAAAACTGAAGAACAATAATGATAAATAAATTATATAAATAATTCTTTAAAAAAAATAAAAGAAAACATGCTCCTCTTTAAATAGAAGTCAGAGTATGTGTAATTCCTCTGCTCAGAACTCTCTAATGGTCCCGCCTCATTTAGTGAGGGAGCCAGTTTCCTCATAGCAGGGCATGAGGTCCCTTGCAATATGTCCATCTGCCCCATTATTGCTTTGACCTCATCTCCTACCCTTTCTCCCTACTAACTGCTTCAGCCCATCTGCACTGGCCTCATGGCATCTGTAAGCATCGTGCGCACTCTGTCACTTCAGAGGGCACTTTGCCCCGGCCAAGGTTCCCCCACCCCCACTCCACCTGTTCCACTGCTGGGGCTGGAGAGTTCCATGACTCACTCCACTTCCTTCAGGTTGCTGCTAATCAGAAAGGCCTCCCTGGCACATCCCTGCTCCTTCTCCAGCTTGCCTTCCTTGCTTTCTCCAGACTGAGGGTCACCTTGTCACCTGCCTTACATTTCATACCTTTGCAAGGGAGAAGAAAGTGAACAGTGTGCTGAATAACCAGCTCTGTGACCCCTGCTGGGGAAGACTTGTCCTTGGCAGGGTCCAGTGCTCAGAAGCAATGGCTTTGGTGTCAGAGGAACCTGACTGGTTGTCTAGGTTTCAGCTTTTTCATCTATGAAATGGGGATAATGGGGGCCAGCAGGTGATGTAGTGGTTAAGGAACTAGACCCCCACATGATTGACTACGGTTCAAGTCCTGGACCTGAGCAGCTTGAAACTCACGGGTACGTGTGCGTGTGTGCCCAAAAGCCTGAGAAGAGGAATGGAGAAGGGATTGCTGTGTGGCCACCACCCTGGGGAGGAGGGTGATTTCTCGCTTTCTTTCTCTCCATCTTGCTCTGTCTCTCCAGTGAGTGCATGTGCCCTATAGCAAAATCTCTCTTAAAAAATTATAGATAGATACATAGATAATGCTAGTAATGACTCACTGGGTTGTGAGAGGATTAAATAAAATAATCTGTGTCATTTGGTTACCTTAGCCCAGTAGGGACTTAAATACACAGGTGTTGGGAACCAGCAGTTAGTGTAATGGCTATGTCACTGGACTCCCACGTAGTCGACCGTGATTCGCGTCCTGGACCAAAAAAAAAAAAAAAAACCAGTAAAATACACAGGTGTTGCCATTAGTGTATCATGATTATTCTTTTCTTCTAATTTTTTACCATAGGGTATGTGTGCTTGCCAGAGAGAGACAGAGAGAGGCAGTGAGAGAGAAAGAAATTATCCCCCTGCCCCCCGGGATAGCCACACCACAGTCCTTTCTCCATTTTCCTCCTCCTGAGATTTTGAGCAGGCATGTATACATGGTCACCATGATTTTCCAGTTCCAGGTCCGGGACTTGATCCACAGTCATCCATGTGGGAGTCTAGCGCCTTAACTGCCATGCCACCTGCTGGTCCCACATCATGATTATTCTTACTCAGCATTCAGACTATGTGAGACTACACTTACACACGAATCTAGAGCTCTCTGCTATGTAAGTCAGTCCTTTGAGAGTCTGCTTAGCCTGAGTCAGGTCCTGGGTCAATGGTCCCGACAAACATGCTTCTTACCCTATAAAGCCAGGTGGGTTCTGGCCTGAAGTGACCCACCTATGACATAGGGCAAAGAGCTACGGGCCTAGGACTGGGAGTTCTTTCAAGATAACTGGTTGTTCATTGGCCCTGGAGTTGCCAGTACAGACCAGTGGCTCTCTGCTGGTCCCGGTAATCTCTTCCAAGTTGAACTCCTCAGTCCACCACACACCCCTGCTCTGTGGCTTTGCACTTCTGGCTCAAAGACCCAAACGAGAGCTACAGCAGCTTACCCCTGTGCCCTCTGATCCCTTGTGGGCTTTGGCTAACTGAGTCCAGTGTGACCCAGCATGGGCTAGGGGTCCTTCCTTCAGAATGGTTCCCCTGCCACCAGAGATCATGCACCATCTCAGACCTTCAAGGTCAGTGTGGGGGTCCAGCTGGAAGACCCCAAAAGCAAACAGCTCTCTGGATACTTACCCTGAAAACTCAGGCAGGAAAACTGACTGAATCACAGCAAAACCACCCACACTGGAGCCAGAACGGGTGCAGCTGGAGCTCCTGGGAGGTTGGGCTCAAAGCAGTTTAGGCAACTGAGGTCCCAGGTGCCCCATGGGGACTCTTCCTGGGATCTCCAGGCCTTGCTGCCTTTCTTAGAAGTGCCCCACTGTGCCAGCAAGCAGTATCACTAAAGAGGTTGGCTCAACCAGCCCTTTGCTGCGCCTCCCTGAGCAGCCAGGAGAGGGGCTGGCTTTGCAAAAGTCCCTTCCTACTGCTCTTGCTCCCACTTCCTGCCTGGAGAGTGCTTCATCCTGCCTTGACCCTTTGAGGAGTGGCGTGTGTGGGAGGGAGGTGCCAGGACGCCAGACAGGGGCAGACAGGGCCCAGGTGAGGCTGTGCAGTGGCTGCTTCAGCTGCTCCTCGGCTGAGAGCATAGTCTGGTCCTTGTCACGTCTGGCAGCCACTCCCATCCATGACAAAGGCTGCTCATTCCCTCCCTGC